ATGAAGGTTGTTCTTAGCATTATTACTTTCATTCTCATCACCTTTGCGATTGCTGATGGATACCACCACAAGATCCACTATCATCGCAGACACTTTCATAAACCACATCGTAATCAACATGAATACCATCATCCACCTGTCAAAACCGTAACCATAACCACAACGAAACACTGTGCTCAAAATGTCCTTTGTCGACAAGATTTCACTTGGAGCCAATCTGAATGCAAATGTATTCCAAAGACTACAACCCCAGCTACAACTCCGACGATGCATTGTGATCCTATCTATTGTCCACAAGGTTCCATATGGAAAAAATCCGAATGCAAATGCATTCCGATGACCAAAACCGGAATCTCAACCACAACTTCAATTAAACATTGTGTTCAAAATATGATGTGCATGAAGGATTTCGTATGGGATCAATCTGAATGTAAATGCGTTCAGAAGTCCACAACAACCGACGCAGATGCCGCTAGAACCAATTCACCTATAGAAACTCGCAATACAAGACCACTTCCAAATAGAGAAACGTATGATCATAATCTTGCTTACCAAAAATACGCATTAAATCCAAGCCAATAAATATTTTATTTTTTCATGATTAATTTTTTAATGTTCGTTGAACGAAATGAGTAATTATAGGTTATATTTTTATGTATTAAATTCTTATCATAAATTGTATACTTTTCCTAGTTCCAGAAGTTCCAGAAATAAAAAATTTCAACACACTTTATAGCTCTGATAAAGTGTGTGCGCACGTACTTATGCATTAAAAATGTTCTAAACCTGTATTTAAATCATTTATAATAAAATTACGGTATTTTTGCGCGAATATTATAAATCGATGAAATGCATGCCACGTTATACCAATGTGACTTCACCGTAGTCAAACATTTGGCAAGAATCATAGGGTTTACAAAGAAAGTACGTACGTTGAAAAGTGTAAATGGGTTTAGTATGAGCCTATTTCGGAAATGATGTTATACAGTTAACTACAACTAAAACTATTTAAACAATTATCACACAAAATTCCTAACTTTAAATGATAAAGGCGTAAAGGGCATGGTCATATTCATTAACAGATTCAAAGTTTGTAAAAAAAAAAAGAGATTAAAGAATTTTGCCAATTTTACTGTTTTACTAATGCTAAGATTGCACAATCAGATTATATAGTCGAGATCCTCATTATCCTCATTTTAAAATATTATTTATGAGGCTCATCATTACGGCGCTTTGTAAAATAAATATTATTTGGCTAAAATTTAAGTTTTTCGGATCATTACATCCTGTATATGCCTTGCATTCTATAGTTTGTGCCGTAGTGTGAGCCGCAGAATCGGAAGCACGTGAATGATGGTGGCGTAGTAAGGGTTATTCGGCTGTGAAGATCACTTACCATAAAAGGGTTTTCCGGTACTATAGCTCTGATAAGAGCTATCGGACCTTTAAGTAAAAACATTATCAAAGGGATAAGAGGGATTGGGAATATAAGAGATTTAAGTAATATATTCAGTATAGACTTTTTAAACAGTATTGGTCATATAATCAATATAGTACAGAAAA